CAACAAGTACTTTTATTTTGTTGTATATTATTATTATTAAATTAATATGTTCAGCCAGAACTGCAAAGTACAAAATAAATAAATAATACAAATTCAAATAAAATTGATATATAAAACATATTAACCTTAAAACCTAGTTAATGGTCAATCAATTAACTTTAAGATGCATCAGATATAAATTTGGAATGTTATATATATTTATTTTTTTCAAGTATTTCTTTCTTCCTACACACTTAGTTTTTTATTAAATGTTCTAATAATAATATAAGAGGTTATAAAGCTGTTGATTGATTGTGTTATGTTGTTGCACCTCTCCTCCAGTCCAGAGCTTTCAGGCCAAGTGCTTCCCTTTGCCTTTCTTTGATGGAGGCCTCTATCCCTTCATCAGAGCTGCCTATTTCACAGGTAGGTGACCCACCAAGACAGATGTATTCATTTATAGCTGAAGTGCATGTGGTTTACATGGATTCCTCCCTTCCTTATGAGAGGACAAACCTCCAGTTTGTTCACATATATTTATTGCTCCGACAGCTACAGGCATCACTCTATGTCAGACATTAATGTGAGGATATGTACCTCTTATTGCATTCACCTCTCTGTTTACAAAATAATAGACAAACAGACACAGTCGGCACTTCTCTGCCTCGTAGTGCGGCTGCTGGTCATCCATGGCTAAAGGCACATGCGTTAATGCCAGTAATAAACATGAGAGCCACCTAATGTGGGATTTGCCGAAAGGCAGTTTGATATGTTTACAGAATAAAACAGGCAGATGGTGGATGAATAAGTTTCTCCATTGAGCAGTTTCTTATAAGGTACGTAGAATGTTTTTATGATGTGTGTAGGCCCAGCCTAGTCCACTGTGGCTGCTTACAGTCATCTCAGTTCTTCGGCAGTTACTTTGTTCATAGCTCATTTGGTCTGTAATAGAAACTTCTCAGTTAGTGAAATGTAATTTTTCTCTTCTTCGCCCACACATATCTCATAAGGCTCAGTAATAAGTAAACAAACAGTATCACAACGCCTTTCAGCCATAAAACTGGTGGCTGCTAGGCTGAAAAGCAGTTTCACATATTGCATTTCCTCTAAGTGATTTTGTTTGGGGTTCGCTCTGATTTTGTTGTGTAATAGTCCTTTTCTTTGTGAGTGTTCCTCTCTGACTGCAGGTACTCAGCGTGTTTGAAAACACATTTTACCAGCTGATGGAGACGGAGAGGTCTCAGTTGGCTGTTCAGACATTGTCAGCCATTTAGCATGGGAACACCCGGACAGCTTGGAATCAGCTCCACCAATTTGAAGGCCTATTTAGGCAGCGCACTGACTGCTGACATTAGCACCAGTTGTCCTGATCTACAAATTAGTTCAGTTTGTCACGCTTTAAATATATTAGTGCCGTTTCTCATGGTCTAAATGTGAGGCGGGTATCTTCCCAGCTCAGGAACTTAGCGCCTCTTCATGTGCTGTCGTTTTCCCACCAAGCCCCTCTGCCTGGCCACAAAGCTCCCAGTACCGTGACCAATAGGAGCCCAAACCACACACACACACACACACACACACACACACACACACACACACACACACACACACACACACACACACCTTGAAGGCTTAACTTAGTCATGTTGCCCACAAGATCAAATTCAGCGTAGGTTTGATATTTCCCACATGGAGAAGCATGTTATTCAGTCCTACAACAAAACAGTGTGTTTAGACAGAACTTGTAATAGTAGGTTCACGTAGCTGTGTGACACTGTGAGCAGCTCGCCATCTTCCAAAGCTGGAGTGAGGTTCTCTAACAGCTCTACGTTATACTGACCTGTCTTTAATGGGCCTGTAATATACTGGCCTGTCAGTGGCCTTTTCCACTCAATTCATTGCAACACAATCACCTCTCTCTATGCATTTGCCATCTATACAACCCCCTTCATGCTTCATTAGAGGCAGTGCGAGCTGAGCTTTGGACAGCGCGTCTTATTAGCATGGGCTGTGTTTTCACTCTTGAACAAATTGGGCTTTTAAACATCAGATTTCAGGCAGATGTTGCACAGAATGTGCAGCACAGGGAGTGGAAACACAAAGGCCGGACCACACTCATTGAGAAGAATCAATCAGCATCCTCCAATGACTAAAAAAGTCTTTACCTGGACATATAACTATAATTATCAAAGCATGTGAACAATTCTAAATGTCAGTACTTGTTAAACTGTTCAAAACACTTTAATCTGTAGTGGCTGAAAAGTTAAGCATGTAACAATGTGAGTATCATGCACTAACTCCTAATTATCCCAAAGCTTCAGAGTGCACAACAAAACAAATCAGTCCAGAGTGAAACACACTGAGCTGCTGGTTCTCTCTGATCACATCAGCAGCGGCTTCTCATCATTTATTGTCGACGTAACTGATAATGTGCAGTAGTAAGGACACAGTCAAGGAGTGTATTAGGCCCTGCAGATGTGACTGTAATGTTAGTGATATTGATTGGCATTTTTCGATAAACGCCTTATCTAATTAACACATCAGGACATGTTAATATGAATTAAAAGCATTTAAATGTCTTGAAATTAATAACAACCTCTGCTAAACCTGAATGTGCCCTGAGAACACTGGAGTCGTGTTTTTTCTAAGAGCATCAGCAACCTGTGTGTGCTCACAGTAATTTAAAAATGTGTAGCTGCACTATATTAGATTTGCCAGCTATCAAAATAAACCAGTGACCGGTTTGTTTTTAAACCAGCAAAACCAACCAAGCACAAAAACATAAGAAAAGCAAGTGAATATACATTAAATGATAACACAACTTGTGTTTATGGGCAAAATCTGATGACACTGTTGGTCGAATGTGTTGTGTTTTGTCCCTCCTCCAGCCCCCTCAGTGGTTCCTGTCCCGGGAACCTTTTCATGGCCCCTGGCCCCCAGAGGGAAGCCCCGCAGAGGCATGCTGCGGCGGGCTGTATTCTCCGACCTCCAGAGGAAGGCCCTGGAGAGAACGTTCCAGAGGCAGAAATACATCAGCAAACCAGACAGGAAGAAACTTGCCAGTAAACTGGGACTGAAAGACTCCCAGGTACCATCTGGTGTTGTTACATTTATTGTAAACAGTCACTGTATATGAGCAAATACAAAAAAATGTTTTGCTGCATTAATATTGTACATTAAAAACTTGTAGGGACAATGATTTGGTTTGTGTTGTGTGAAGGTGAAGATCTGGTTTCAGAATCGCAGGATGAAATGGAGAAACTCCAAGGAGAGGGAGCTGCTGCTGACGGGCGGCTGTCGCCAGCAGACCCTCCCCACCAAAACCAACCCCCACCCAGACCTCACTGATGTCAGCAGCACCTACTGCCACAGACTGGACAGGACTGCACCCACCAGCCGAACACAGCTGGCCAGCCAGAAGTCACATCTTCAACACCAGCAGCATCATCGCAATCCTTTCTCTCCATCAGAGTCCAGCAAACACTCAGAGCTCTCCGAGTCCGATGGTGAAGAAATCACAGTTTCATAAGAGCTTGACAGAAGAGTCATGACATGGTGAAAAAAATAAATTTATAGAAGAAGCTAGTGGATGGAAGCAAATGTCAGATCTGCTCTGTACATACCTGTTCAGCTCCCCCGCCATATTTCTGTACAGTACTGTTTGTATTCCTTCATATGAGGCTCATCTACAATATATATAGTAAAATAAGGTATACTGAGCTGCTTTAGATTTAGTATGTGTAGATGAAATGTTTAAAATTCTTGAATGTACAAATTGTTCTTTCCATACATATTTGTATTCTTTATATTTTCTCAAAGAAATCATGAAAAGACTGATGTCGTGTCCTACTGATATGAAACTACTGGGAACCTTAAATGTGTGTTTCTAATAGAAGTCTCACCCCTCTCAACTTTTTAAGTTCTAAAAATCATAAAAACATGTAGTTACAGCCATCTCTCGATTCTTTTTCCCAAACCTTTATTTAAACAATAGTAACATCACAAAAAAGAAAAGAAAGAAGAGAGTACAGAGAGTATTGAAAGTTACAACTATAAATAACAAGCTTGCGGAAGTTGAAAAACACATTACTTATTCACTGGAATATTTTATTTAACAATATATTCAATGCTGCTCAAAATACCCATAAGGCTTTCTTGCTCTTATAAATTCTACAGATCCAAAAGTTATTTGAGTAAACACAGGAGTAAAAAAGGACTCAGGTTCCTTTTTGCAAAAAGAGCATAGAGGAAAAACATCTGGTGGTGTATAAATTCATTGCAGGGACAATATCTGTGTAGAATATTAATATGAGTTTCTTCAATTGGATTCAATTGAATTTTATTTGTATAGCACCAAATCACAACAAAAGTAATCTCAGGACACTTTACAAAGTAAGGTCTAGACCCTATTATTATTATTATCACAGAGGGGAAACCCAACAAACCCCCCTGGGTAGCACTTGGTGACAGTGAGGAGGAAAAACTCCCTTTAACAGAAGAAACCTCCGACAGACCTTGGCTCTTGGTGGGCGGCCTTCTGCCTCGACCGGTTGGGGTGAGTGGATAGAGGAGAGAGAAAAGAAGAAAAGCAACAGGACACAACAAACAATCAAACACTGGTCAGGTTGATGTGGCCGGTGACTGCTCCTCAGAAACATAGAGCTCTAGGGCCAGGGCTACCTGCAGAAAGGTACAGGGAGAGAGAGAGGACACACAACGAGAGAGGGAGGACACACTATGGGAGAGAGGAGACACAAAGTTAGTGATGTGTAATGGTGGCATATAGAAGCATAGAGAGATAGGAAGGAGGGGTAGATGGAGCTCAGAGCATCATGGGATGTCCCTTAGCCTAGTACCCTTAACTAAGGGATGGTCCACCAAACCAAACTTATCCTAGAATGCATGTCCAATCATTTCATAGACACCACTACATGGGCCCTAGTGAAGGCCGTCCTGTTGACTTGAAACCACTGGTACAGTTAAATATCCTCAGTACCAACAGGACGGCCCAGGCCCGCAGTTTACTAGCAGTTACTGAGATGGCTGTTGGTCTTATCCCTGTTCAGCCACATTAGTTGTTATGATGCCATGAAATATCAGAAGACATCAGAAGATGGGCAGCAGCACCATGACGGTTAGCTAACCCAGGGCCTTTCTGTGCAGAGGCTGCATGTTCTCCCTGTGCCTGTGTGCACTCCCTCCAGGTACTCCAGCTTCCTCCCACAGTCCAAAGACATGCAGTTTAGGTTGACTGGTGACTCTAAATTACCATTGGGTGTAGTATGAGTGGTTGTTTGTCTACATGTCAGCCCTGTGACAGACTGACAACCTGTCCAGGGTGGACTCCGCCTCTCGCCCAGTGTCAGATGGGATTGGCTCCAGCCCCCTGTGACCCTCGGTACAGATAATGGATGAAAATCACAACATACTAAGTATAAGGAGAGAGAGAGGACAAGTAGTGTGAAAACGCTTTGAGTGAACTGAGACTGGGAGTTGGTTCCATAGGAGAGGAGCTTGATAGCTAAAGGCTCTGCCTCCCATTCTACTTCTGTGGACTCTAGGAACCACAAGTAAACCTGCACTCTGAGAGCCAAGTGCTCTGTTGGGCTGATAAGGCTCTATGAGGTCTTTAAGGAGCCTTGTCATTAAGGGCTTTGTATGTTAGGAGAAAGATTTTACAGGGAGCCAGTGAAGAGAAGCTCATATGGGAGAGATATGATCTCTCTTGTTAGTTCCTGTCGGTACTCTGGCTGCAGCATTTTGGATTAACTGGAGGCTTTTTAGGGAATTATTGGGACATCCTGATAGTAAAGAGTTACAGTAGTCCAGGCTGGAAGGAACAAATGCATGGACCAGTTTTTCAGCATCACTTTGAGACAGGATGCTCCTCAAAAATGACTCCAAGGTTTCTCACAGCAGTACTCATTAGCAATAAAAAACACTGTTAACCTCGGTCCAAATATTCTTGTTGATGTCAAGAAACATCACTTTACTGAGCAGAGGGTAGTACATTTCTGATATAAGAATTATTACAATGACATTCCTCAAGATCTTTTCCACCACGTTTTAGACTAGGGAGCACTCCTACGAAAGGTTCATATGATAATGACGCTTTAATAAGAGACAGCAGCTTAGGTGATATACATTTAGATACTCTGGAGTTTTTGAGATTAGGAAATGTCTAATTGTCTTGATTGAATCAATTCTTCGTAGATGGCTAATTACCTCTTTTCATTCATAAGTTCAGAGATAAATATACTATGGGCATAGCAGTTCTTCAAAAAATGGTCTTATATTTGTACATAACATGCTGATGACAGTGGTGCGGTGGGTAGAGCAGTCGTCTTCCAACCAGAAAGTTGAAGGTTTGAATCTTAGTGCCGGCAGTCCATGTGTCGAATTGTCCTTGGGCAAGATACTGAACCCCCTGTTGAGGTGGTGCTGCAGATGGCTGTCATCCATTCTGTATTGGAAACAAATTCCTTTTGTGTAACATACTTGGCCAATAAAAGTGATTATTATATAATGCATCTGTGTGGGGAGAATTTACCTGAAATAAAACTACAGGAATGCTAAACCAAGGAAGATTACCTGCTAAACATCTTTTTAGCCAAATAATCTTAAATACACTATTGATAGTTTTTAAGTCTTTTTTTTTTTTTTTTTAGTCAAGTGAAGTGTTTATTGTCATATGCACAGTGAGGAAAGTGTTTCCCTGTACAATGAAATTCTTATTTTTGTCAGGTTTGCCCAGGCTGCACCTGCCTCTCTCACCTCTCTCACTTTTTTTTATTTTTATTTTTTTATTGAAACAAAGAAACATTAACAAAACAGTACCGAACATGGGAGACAAGACAACAGTTACATGACATTACAAAAGGATATAGAGTGTTTAACGAGGTTGTAGTGTGTGAAGTGTGGGTATTTCCAACTTATGCAGTCTATGAAATGCAAGAAAGGGAAAAGGAGGGGAAGTAAATAAAAAAAAACAAAAAATAACAATAATGATGATAACAGTACTATTAAAAAATCAGCTTGTTACATTTCTAGAGGTTGGTGGGAATGTGCGTGGCCTCAGCCCCAGGTATTTGATTCAAGTTGAAATTTGTTAAAAATGGGTTCCATGTGTCATAAAAAGCAGATAAACTATTCTTGTGAGCGGATGCCATTTTCTCTAATGTTAGTGATGATAGTTTTTAAGTCTGATACATTAAACCCTCCCTCTGTCCAATAAGAGCTTTCATTCTTAAATACTCTTTTACATTTCCAAATGAGTTTAAACAAGAGTGAGTCAATGGTGGCACACGTACTCCAATCAACATATAGAGATAAGGCTGGATATACCAATCTGGATACGTCCTCTCCTTTAGACAGCAAAACACAACCTAAGATTGTAAGGTCACTTTGCAACCAGCAGTTTTTGGAGTGAAGCTGGGAGAAATCCCTTATCTTCAGATTTATTTATTTGATTCCTAAATATGTTACAACTTATTTGCTTTTTTATGCTATATACGGAATGAATATTAGAATTGTGTGCTGTCATTGTCTCACGCTTATTTTATTAACAGTGAGGCCAGATGCAAACAGTTTTAAGGCATTTATAACAAGTGACACCTGAAGCTTATTTTGAAGGAATAAACGTGTATAATTGGCCATTTGGCTTGTCGTTAGGACACTGTCACCAATCCTAATGCCTTTTACCTTAACACAGTTGCCAATAAACAAATCAAGTAGTTCAGTAGCAATTAGAAACCAAAATGGGGAAACTGGGCACCCTTGTCTGATTCCAGGTTTGACATCAAAACCAGGCAAAGTTCCATGTGCTCAGGAAACTGAACAATTAATATTTACATACAGTCTAATTATTATATTCCTGAAATTCTTATCAAACCCAAAATAACTTAAAGTTTCAAAAATAAAGGGGCATTCCAAAGTGTCAAAAGTGTTCCTCAGTGCATAGTTTTACTTGTTCATCATCAACAAATAATTTATAGTCTGAATTAAGCAGGGTCGCAGAATGCCAGTTATCAAGAAATAATAGATCTTTGGTTTAGGAATGAGTGATATCAAACCTTCTTCGTAGAGGTAGTTAGGTCACTATTCTTGGCGCATTGCATAAAGACTTCCAACAACATAAAAAGTTATACAAAATTGGAACCAGGCTTTTAATCAGTGGTATTCTTTACAATAGACTAGTTCCTCCAATAAAATTGGACATTCACAAACCTCACGATGTTCTTTGGATATTTTTGGTATACATGCTTTTACTCTGCCAGAAAAAGTGTGACAAGCATAAGGGTCAAAGGAAGATGTGTATAACCTTTGATAAGAACCAGAAATAAATGGAGATTTTTTCATCCATAGAAAGATTGTCTGTACATAGAGCAGATATTTTCTTTGTTTCACCTCGTTTTTTTCCCCTCTAAGTTAAAAAATAGGAAACATTTTCCTCCATATTCTAAGCATTTAGCTCAAGATCTCACGAATGCTCCTTTTACCTTTGTTTGAAGGACTATGTCCATCCTTTCCCTTAAAAATGTAATTTCTTTATATCCTCATCGCTCAGCTTAGAGACATTTATGATCATTTCTCAACTGTGACCTCAGTTCAATCCACCAGTCAGTCGACTGGCATCAGCTGACGACTTTTCA